ACCTACCAACAAACTACATATATGCATATTAAAGATGCACGGTAAAACAAAAAAAAAAGAGAAGAAAATCCAAGCAACTAAATCAATATCCTGAGAATTTCCAGCGTGTGTGCGGCGTGTGTGAGAAACTGAAGGTGCTGTGTTTGTGTGTGTAGCTTTGGCGTTTGGCAATTGTCGCCGATGTTGATGTTGTTGTTGGTGTTATTGTTGGTGTTGTTGTTGTTGATGTTGACAGGCCGCAAACAGTCGGCAAACTTTTAGATTTCAAAGCAAGCGCATGAGTCGTGTGCAGTAATTAACATCATGTCATAAGTCTACAAAAGCAAATAAATAAATAGATAAAAACACAAACAGACAGTTGGCCAAGCACACACACACACACATATATACATACATACTTACATATAGTATATACTCGTACCCATATAGGCACACATGAAAGACACAGACCGAATATTTCCCATCGCTTTGATATATGGCACTTCCTGTGCCATTGTTGTTGCTGTTGTTGATGATTAGACGACGTCAGCACGTATAGACGACGACGACGACGACGACGACACATGGCTAAAGGATTAACTTGGCCAAAACGCTTGCAAACACACAGACAGCCACTCACATGTGTGTGCTCAAAAAATCTGCCGCGGAAACGGAAACTGCGCGCGCGACCATAAAAAAGGACCTGCCAAGATTTCTGGCTATCCGCCAGCCCGCTTTCCTGCCTGCCTGCACCAATAAAGAAGTCATTGCTCGCAATTATGCCATAAAAGCATAAAAAAAACGACTTGATCCTGCAGGAAGCCACTGGGACTCGACCTTATTAGTGTGTCCTTTGTTTGTGTCTAACAAAAAAATAAACAAGTAGAGCGTAAAAAATATAACAACGAGAGCAGAAAAAATATAGCAAGCATTGTAAACTTATATTTTGTGAGACTGGAAAAAAAACTCGAGCAGATCATAAAGTTATGCGCGATTCGCGGAAGGTCCTTGGACTGTTTTCCATAACTTCCATTTTTTGAGACCGGCTTTTTTGCTCGAATTTTCATTTTCATTCAAATGCTTTTATGGTTTCTGTTTTTCTTCACAAGTTCGTCGAAAAAAATTAGATTTTTTAGTGCAAAGTCGTTTTGAAACTGACGGCCTTTGAGCAACGGTATTGTGTATGTGTGTTTGTGTTTTTGTTGTTTTTTATTCTACTTTTTGTTGTTTTTTTGGTAAAAATTGTCACTAAGTGACTTTTTATAGCCATGAGGCATAGGTTTTTTCGCATTAAATCTTATGTATGTTAAGTACTTATGCAGAATACTTTGGAATGGAAGCGGGGAAAGCCCGACATATACAAGATTTATTTAAGTATATAGAGTGATTTTTTATGATTAAAATGGAGGGCTACAACAAATTTACATGCTTTCTAAAATATATATACATGTTTTGATGAAGCGAGATCGGAAAGCACCTAAATCCTGAAATATAAAAAGGCATTTCATATAAAAATCTTTAGGCAGCTTCTGAACAAAATGGTGAAAAGGAAGCATCTGGATCTCAAAGTCCGCAGGATGCGTTAATACAGAGCTTCTTTTATTTATAGCTATGCTCAAGGTAACTTTTATTTGAATTTAATGCATCCAAGTGTGAGGGACCTGAGGGAACCTGCTACTCCAAAGAGGAAAAACTTACAAGAAATATGTAATACCCTTTATCGGAGCAAATTGCCTTAGTCTAATTATCCTCTTGGTCTTTAATCGAATGGAAAAAGAAGTTGCAAATTTAGCGAAAAGGAGTTGCTTTACAATGTAATTCAAGATGTAAAGGTTGATTGTCAATAGAAGCGATATACTTATGAGCAGTTGATACAAGTATATATATTTTTATCTATTAAGCTTCGACTTAGGACTTAGATTTTACTTTACAGGCTACATCAATGAGTTGTTTTGTTAAAAGCCGAACTCTTTGAAGGCCCATCTGTTTTTCTTCTTATTTTTGTCCTCAAAAATATTTAATTCCACCCGCATGACAAGATCACAAATAATATCAAAGGTTTTGATAAGCTTTTCCTCTAACTACAAGTATGAAAAGTATAAACAAATGTTTTTTTTCCTCAGCAAAATGCTACAAACTATTTTGTACTTAAAAGCACATTTATTTTAAAAACGAAATACAATAATTTCACGGAAATTTATTTTATGCAGAAGCCCTGACGTTACTTATTTAATTGAATGCTGAGAGGTTCCTAAATACATAAATATCTAGTATTAATTGAGTAGCATGAAGCGCTTCAAATCGAAACTCATTAAAGTCAATTCTAAATGCTAAGTAGCTGCGAAACCGCAGTCAGAAAAGAGCTCAACTAAATACAGCCTTTTGAGTAAATGAATATTAAATGAAAGCTACTAAAAATTATGACTTGACAACCAAGACGGCAAGTGGGAAGTTGCTAATGAAGGGCATTAATATGTCGTGCATTTATAAGAACATGTCGTTAAATTTTACAGCGGCTTCTCAAATATGGAAAAATGCTGATGTTGTATAATTTTTTGCAATAACAAGACTTTCGATTTAATATTTTAAATGGTTCACGAGTCGAGTTTTATGTAGTATTTAACTTTTTGGTAGCAAGCGATTAGATAGCGATATGACTTCTGCATTAAGTTGTAAAATTTCACATTTTTAAAAAATATTACAGTATATAATTGTTTTCATTTCCATAAAAATTAAAAAGTACAAAATAAGTTCTTATAACTGTGAAAATATCATAATGAAATAAATATTGAATTGCTGAAAATAAGAAAAATGAATATGATTTTGGAAACTATTTATTAATTGTCATTTTCACAAGCAAATATGTAAAATACATTTTCAAAATAAACAATTTATAAAATGAGCTAACAATAACTTTTTAATTCATTTGAAATGTAAGTAATAATGGTTAGCTAACAAGATGCCTATTTTTATTTTGTACTAATTCAATAATCAAAATAATAAATAAATAAATACATTTTTCATTTTATTGAAGTCAAGAAATTGTGTAACTGGATTTTTAAATGTTTTTCAGACGGACAGACGCACATGCCTATATAGACTTGGCTTGTCATCCTGATTAAGAGTATATACATATACATTGTGGGGTCCTTCTTCTGTGTGTTACATACATTCGCACTAAACTAGTATATATACCGTTTACCCTTTGGGTACAAGGTATAAAAACATTTTGACAAATAAATAAATTAAGATAAAAAGGACATACAGGAAAACACACTCTTTTTTTAAAAAAAAACTTCCAAAATAAGACTCAATAGAAGTATTTGTACAACAGAATCTTTAGATTTCAGATGACTTTAACAGAACTTCCTTTTTTAATAAGCGAAAAATAATATTAGTGAAGCTTTATGAAGTTTTTCAGAGATATATGTTTTTAAAGCTGCCTCTGCCCCTTAACCGCATCGTTTTTCTGTTGTCACTTGTGTTTTTAGAAGTCTATGTTTTCTGCATCGAACTAACATATTTTTCCTCAACTCTACTCAGATTTAAGTTTTTAATCGGTATTGTGTCATATCTTGAAGCAATAAATAGCTGCTGAAAACAGTTACTACCTTACTTTTAAATACAGATTACAAATTCTATAAAAGAGCAACAATTTTAATTCCAATTTGAACGAATTCCCTTAAAACAATAATGTGCTGTGCCTAAAGATTAAACCCTTTTTTGCATTTTATATACACGCCGTATTAAATAACCCCGCACATAACAGAGTCACGAAATTAAATCGGCCGACATTAAATCAATGTCGCCAGCACCAGCACCAACATAAGCGCCATCATCGTTTCCAGCGTCATCGCCATCACCATCGCCATCGTCGCCAACATTGGTTGTCGTTGTCGCCATCACTTTGATGACAAACAACGACGAGCTAATTGAATTTCAGATTTAAGTGTAAAGCCCGAAAAAGTTATTTGTATTGCAAATTAAAATTTAAGTGAAACCGAATAAAGCGCAAAAGGGCAACAACAATAACGGCGACGACGACAACAATAGATTACAATATCCTGAGGCGCTCATAAAAGCAGGGAGACTGGAAGCAGGAGGCAGGACGTGTGCTAAAAAAAAGGCCAGTATGGTGGCGGCGCCACAGGACACTGCCAGCTGCTCTACACCCGTACATGGTATAGCGTGCGCCTGCCTGGGTGGGATGTTGGTGTTGGCCATGCGGGCTGGGAGTTGCTGCAGCGGCAGCAGCAGAAGCCACGGCAGCCGACGACGTCCGACCGTCAGCCCAACAGTTTCCGCTTGTTTACTGCTGCCAGAGCCAGAGCCAAAGCCAAAGCCAGAGTCAGATTCAGAGCTAGAGCCGCGCAAGCAGAGAACAGAGGGACCAGAGCTGAAAGATGTGGCCAACAAAAAGATACAGCAGTTGCACAGCAGCAGCGGCAGCAACGTCAGCAGCCCGACGAGCGGACGGGCGCACACGCCATACGGACATGGAGACATGGGACAAGGGACATGGAGACACACTGACAGACGACAGCAGTAGAAGCAGTCCAACAGTCCGACGGAGTCATTCAGCCAATCCGAGCGCTTCGTTGGCAGCAGGTAGGCGTGTACGTATCTACCATTTCCAAATAAATTCACCCTCGACAACAACAAAGCAGCTGCCGTTGGCTGAACCGTTGCGTGTGAGTTTGTGCCTTGGCTGGCTGGCTGGCTGGCTGGCTGGCTGGCTGGCTGGCTGGCTGGCTCGCTGGCTGCCTTTTTGGTCTTCAAAACCGGTCGGCGACGCCGCAGTTGCATTCAGTTATTAACGAGCGCTACTCCCAGCACCACCAGACGGCAGCAGCAGCAGCATCGACAGCAGAAGCAGCAGCAGCACGAACAGCAGCGGCAGCAACAGCAGCAGGCAGAAGTCACTCCACTCAACAGCCACACACACACACACACGCACGCGCACGCACGCACACATAGTCACAACACACATACACATGCCTCAATTTTCACGAGTTTGAGTCGGAGAGCACGAAAAACAAGTTGAATTCAGTTTGTGTCGAGACGTTGTCACGGGCACGTCGCATTATCAGGAGAGCTGCCCAGTCGCTGAACGAGTTTTCAATTTGAAGTGTGAAAAGACGAGAAAATTGTTGTAATTGTAGAAACCAAAGCAAAAACTAAAAATTAAACAGAACACTTGCGTGCGTAAATACGAACAAGTAAAGAGAAATTGCAGTGTGAACCAAAACCCAAGACTAGTGAACTTTAAAAAAAAACTAAGCTAAAAAAAAAACACATTCAACACAAATCAACAAACAAATACGAGTACATACAAAAAAGGGAATATGTCTTCCACATCGGCGTCGCCCATCAGCAACATAACCGTGGACGACGAGCTGAACATAAGCAGAGAACAAGGTAAGCCCAATAATTCATAGCCGTCGGCAAAATGAATGCGAGTCGTTAATGGTCTTAAGGCAGATAGTGTTAGATAATATTAGATAATGGAAATAAGTGGAAAGTTTTCACACAACTGCTGCATACTTAGCTCACCAATTTCTTTCGTTTTGAAATACTTCTGAAGCTCGTCAAAATGTTTGTTCTTAGCTAATTTTCCAACTTTTCTTTGCAACTATTTGCAGATTTCGCCGAAGACGACTTCATAGTGATCAAGGAGGAGCGCGAGAGCAGTTTGTCACCCATGTTGACGCCGCCGCACACGCCCACCGAGGAGCCAGCGCTTAGACGCATCTCCTCGGCCCACAGCAGTCCGTTGGGCAGCGAGCGGGAGCGAGAGGAGTTGGCCACACAATTGCATATGCGTGCTCCGTATGGAGCCATGGAGCGACACATGCAGGCAGCACACTATCAGCAGCAACAGCATCGTCTGTGGTTGCAGATGCAACAGCAGCAGCAACAACAACAACAACAACAGCAGCAACATCCGCATGTGGCACAGTCACATTATGGAGCGGTATATGGACTGCCTGGAGCGGCGGCCAGTGCGGATACTGTGGCGGCACAGCAGCAGGCGCTGCTCATGAACCAATGGATACGCCATGCCGCTCTGTATCAGCAACACCAGCAGCAGCAGCAACAACAACAGCAGCAGCATGGACATCCGCATCACCCACACCATCCGGCCCACCATCATCATCACCATCATGGCCATCATCCGGCGCATCATGGTGTGCGTCCTTATCCAGCTGGCCTGCACACCTTGCATGCGGCAGCGGCCGCTGGTCGCCACTTTGGTGTGCTGCCCACCATGAAGCTGCCGGGTGCGGGGGGCAGTGGCTCGGGCAGCAGCAGACCCAAGAAGCAGTTCATCTGCAAGTACTGCAACCGACAGTTCACCAAGTCCTACAATCTGCTCATACATGAGCGCACGCACACGGACGAGCGTCCCTACTCCTGCGACATATGCGGCAAGGCCTTCCGGCGCCAGGACCATCTGCGGGATCACCGCTACATACACTCCAAGGAGAAGCCGTTCAAGTGCAGCGACTGTGGCAAGGGCTTCTGCCAGTCGCGCACGCTGGCCGTCCACAAGGTCACCCATCTGGAGGAGGGCCCTCACAAGTGTCCCATTTGCCAGCGCTCCTTCAATCAGCGCGCCAATCTCAAGTCTCATCTGCAGAGCCACAGTGAGGGGCACAAGGAGACAACGGGAGCGGGAGCGGGCGCCGCACCTACAACGCCCACGACACCAACACAGGCATTGAGCAAGTCTCAACCTGCAGAGTTGGCCAGTCAGGGTCAGACGACGCCCGCTCTCGATCTTTCCTCCTCGGCCATTGCTCTGCCCGCCGAGCGGCCAAAGCGCTCGATGGGCTTCACCATCGACGAGATCATGAGCAGATAGAGCGAGCAATTGGCGAACAAACAGGCCACAATTTATTGGTTTTCGGTTTCAAGATCGAAACCTTCGGCTCCAGGTCCCGAGGCGTCGCTCAGCCAGGCATTGGAAGTGCCTGAGTCCAGTAAGCGCCGTCGCCCAAGTCGCCCACAGTCGTCCACAGTCGCCGTCAGTCGCAGCCAGTTGGAGGAGCCAAGGCTCCAGGCACCCACAAGCCCCAGAAATGCCCCAGTGAAGTGGCAAAAGTCAAGCCCAAGCTATATTCTACAGATATACAAGTATAGCAACCGATTCACATACAAATGCAAATGCCAAAGCACACACGCAACTGAATAAAACTTAAACCTAAAGAGTTACGAAGTTAAAAGATGGAAAGACAAAGTATTGCAAGCAAACACACGCCTCCTAAACAATTCCAAAATGGCAGTTGAAATCATAATAGAAATACATATGTTAGTATAAAGGTCTAGCTGTAGTTTAATTTTATGGACAACTAGCAACTGTACTCTTATATAATCGTACCTTATAGCTATAGTAGCCGATTCTGTTTTGTAAGCCTAAGCAACATACTTATTATCGCATCGACAGGCGCCTCAATTCAAAATACAATACAATACAATACAATATATTTATAATAATAACAATAATTACCGAAGACTGTTTCTATAATTTTGCACGAGAATTTGTTGGTTTTTTCACTGAGTTTAATGTTTATATTTTTAGTTAAGTGTTATGCCCATTTTTCATTAACTAAATTACTATTAAACGATGAAAGTATAATTATTATCACAATACTGTATATTTAATGTGACTTTGCACAAAGACAGACGATCTCATTATCGTAAATAAAAAACATATACTATGTACATAAGAAGTAGATACAATATGGCTTAAGTGTTCGCAATCTGAACCCTTCAATTATGAATATTGATGCAAGTAGTGAATTCATAAAAATTAAATAATCATATATTATTTAAAAATCAAAATTACACGTGTTTCAATATTAATGGGACGATATCGTGGTATGCTACTGGTTAGTGATGTCAAGCTACTGGCAGTAATCGGAAAGTGAACTCAGTAATCTGTATAAAGCAGAGTATTAGATTGTGGATAAACCTTATGATCGGGCGAGTTTCAAAGAAAGGGGAATCTGCAATGTGGTTTGAGAATGTTATAGAATAATTATCTTAGTAAGCTGTGCAAGTTTCTGAAACTTGAGTTGTTAACTTATATATAGCACCCGACTATGGATTTTTTATTTTTTATTATTTTACTGAACCGCTTTAGAAAGCTAGTTTTATAACTGGCACATGAAAAAGTATTGATTTAAAGCCAAATATTCAAAGATTTGGTTTGTTAAGTAGTTAATGAATCATACTTACTGCCCAGCTGAACTAGCTTAAAAGTCTTTACTAAAAGAGGAGTTCAAGGCATTCAATCTTTAAAAGCGCAACCTTTTTCAAAATTAATCAATTTTTAATCGATTTAATGCACTTATCACATTTCTGTTTATTTAAATACTTCAGAGAAGGTACAAAATAAGTTTGTGGTTTCTAAAAATTACTTCAAGTCATATCATCTAAGAATGAATACAAAAGCTTTCACATCATAAAGGCAAACATATATTTTTGGTTGACTTACAAACTTGGGTTTCTTTTTCTGTCTCTATTTATCAAAATCACAGAAAATCAACAAATTATACAAATTTTAAACCAGTTCTTATCCCAGTCTTATCCAGTTCTTATCTAGGATAAGAATAAATGAAAAAGAAAAGAAGTATTTAGATTTTTTTTTGAAAGACAACTAACACCTTCCTGGCACTGACAATATAATGATCTTTTGAATTTAATTCAAATAGTAGATGAGCCACAATTGTTAGGCCAGATAGAAGGTCTTTTTATAATTTGTTCGTAAAAAGCACGAGTTTGTTAAGTTTCTGCAAAGTGGAAAATGTAAAAGGCAGAATGAGGCGTGACAAACCCAACAAAGATATATTTTCTTGATCAGCGATCTAGCCCTGTCTGTCTGTCTGTCCGTATGAACAACAAGATCTTAGAGAGTGCAAGAGCTAGGCCTTATATTTGTACGCTGCACAAGTTTATTTTATTTTTATTCATTAAAGAGGGTTTCAGTTTCCAGTTAAATATCGTATAATGAATTCTGATATTTTAGTTTAGAATTTTCTCTTTAAAAGCAATAATTATAATAATTACTTAACATTTTGGATTATTACAGAATAGTATATTTATAAATCTTCTTTTTAATGTGATTTCCAGTTACATACTATATTGTTATTCTAATTCCTTTACAACGTTACTCCTCATTCAGAAGCTGTGATATATTAGTTTAAAATGTGCGTTTTAAAAGCAATTATTACTAAACGTACTGGATTATCAAAGAATAGTATATTTATATAACTTTTTTTAATGTTCTTTATATTCCCTGTATACCAACACCTTATTTGCCAGAAATAGTTTCATTTCAAACAAATTTTTGACCAGCACAGTCTATTCCCTGTTTATTTGTTTTCGAAACCAATTGGATTTACAAGTTTATTATAAAAAGTTTGTGTAGCAAAGGTTAGATCTTAATAGTATTTATTTTACTAGCATAAGTACATAAAATTTTAATCTTCAAAAAGCTAGTAACGAATTTTATTGGCATTTGTCAGTAACTTTAAGATTTCGCTATTGAAACCGACAAATCTGAATTGAAAGCCCACACAACTCTCAGCTTTAAATGCTCTTTCCAAATTATGGCAAATGTTAAAAATTTCGACAATACATGCATTTTATGAGGCCGCTCATCATAATGCTGTCAAAATACGTTAGACGGGGTCATAACTTAAATCGTTTCATATTTTAAATATCTATTAATTTTCAAGATTCCAAATTGGCGCAAAAGTTGCGTGCCAAGCACTTTTATGGCAACTGGAACTAACTTTTAAAACGTCAGGCAGTTTAATTTATTGCTTTTCGATTTTTGATGTTGCTCCAAAATTTAGTTAGTTTTAGGCAGCTTGATCTCTTTTCTATATTTTGGGTGCGGTCAATGATGTCAAATGAGATCAATTTTTTTGTGTCGAGTTCTCGAGAAGTCCATAGAAATTGGCAGAGAAGAGGAACGTGCCTTGCGTGTGGTTAACAAACAATTGTAAAGGTAGTTTGGAGATATTGGAACTGCATTAGCACGCGCAGTTCCGAGAAGTGTCTGTTTAGATAGCCATCTTGGCCCGAATTGTCGTTAATTGAGGTTGAGGCTGTTGCTGAGACAGACACAGAGACAGATAGGACCTTTGCTAGCGTGAGTCGCCCGCATACCAGTTTGGCCGTGTGGCTGAAATTTCATTTGGCCCACCAACAGCTGCCTCATTTGCTGCTCAATTTATGCGGACCAGCCATTGTCCTGGCTTCATTTCGATGACATACTTGGTGCAGCCATTATGAAGCGTACAATTGGGAAGATTGAGCAGAAAATAAATAATAATAAAAGAAAGAACGAAAGAAATAGAAAACCCCTACTGCTGACAAACGAAACAAAAAACAATTTTCAAAATGCAAACGTATGCCAAAAACATTCTGATGTCTACATCTGCAAAGGACACGCCCCGACCGCCCGCCAGACAAGTGGACAAACGGTGCAGGACACGACCAAATCGAACTGAACTGAATCGAAGTGACATTTCAATGTCAGACGCCTGTGGCCAGAGGATGTTGGCCAGTGGGTTGGCCAGACTATCTACCGCGACAACGAACTGGGCTTAGAACCTGGCTCAAGGGCCTTATCTGAACACACACACAGACACAGACACACATAGCACACAACCGTCGCTGTCTCTGCTTGCTCGCTGTTTTGCAACACTTCGCCGCAGGAGCCAGCCTCGCATTCGACACACATTGTCCACAAACAGGACATAATTGCACGAATCCGCACTGCGTACAACCAAAATATTTTGTGAAAGTCACAGCGGGAGGTTGAGGTAGGAGCTGCCTAGGACATAAGCATGAGCAGAGCCAATGTCCTACAGCTCTCAGCTAGTTCGCTAGCTGGATAGCTGGCTAGCTGGCTGGCTATCTGGCTGGCTGTGGCTATCTAGCCAGATTGATGGTCTCTGTAGGGTTGTTGTACCGTTTTTAGGCCACAATTAAATGCATCGGTTCCGCAACTAGGGTGGCATTTTTTTCACCATTTTTTTGTTTGTTCGTTCGTTATCCTTGTCCAGTTGTAAATTGTGTTGTGCCTTTTACGGGCGTGCTGTGTACTGCTGATTAAGCAGCAGGCAGCACACGTTCATCTCGTCTCTCCGTCCATCTCAAAAGTGAGCCATTTTCAGTCCAGTAGAATACAAAAACAGCCACCCCGTTGCCAGTGCCCCTGCCTCTGCCACTGCCTCTGCCACTGCCTCTGCCACTGCCTCTGCCACTGCCCCGGATCTTGGCACTCTAATGTCCTCGGTGCGTTTAATGAGTTTTGCTGCTGGCATAAATGTGACACAAGGACATTGTTTGCGAACACGTTCGCACTCCAGCCCTGTTCCTGGGCCACCCTGAAGCAACAAGCAGTCGACTGGCCGGCATCGCCAGTCCTAAATGGAAATGAAGTTGCCTCCGCTTGTCTCCGCTGCCATTCGAGCGCAATTAAAGCGCTACAAATCGATTTGCCGCCAAATCATAATGGAAGCCACACAAAATGGCCGCCCCTTTCAGGGGTTGCTGTTGACAGCGAAAGCAGCAGCCAGCAACTGTCTCTGGCCAGAAGGGATGCGCAAAAGTATCTGCTGGTGAATGATTCAGGCAGGCGGGATATGCTAATTAAACTAAGGGATGTTTGTCTTACAAACAGTTCCTCCTTACTACTTGTATGTATAATATGAAATGCTACTGCAATTGTTAAGCGAAATGGAAACGATTGTTAATTAGTTAACTAGTCTTGGAATGTTGCGATACTACTTAGGTACATCTTATATATGAAAATGGAAGTATGTATGTAGCTGGCTGGGTACTCAACTATACTGAAGGACCCCATCGAAGCCATAAAATGCGAAGGACGTATTGGGAGAGATGTGACGTTGGAAATCTTAAAAAGCACTACAATTCAGTGGCGCAGTATTTTAGAAAAGTACTTCCGTTTTAAATTTGAAAGAATAGTGTAATTTTAAAAGGAAAATCAAAGAAATTAAATTCGAGTAACTTTTTTGATTTTAACAAGACCTTCTTCTGATTTATTTTTGCAAATGCTCTTTTTTCCTCCTTATACTCAGAGTTTGTATCGCCTGATACCTAATTCTTAAATTACTTCTAAAAAGTTATACTGTCATAATTAAGGAGCTTTCCGTTCCAACTATAAGTCCAATTTCCCAGCCCACTCTCTGATGCTCTTTCTTATATCACATCCGACTTTAGGAAATAAGAAATCAAATGCGCAATTCCAAATTTAAACAATAAAATTATTGCCTTCAATATTCAAATTGTGCTAGCTGAAGGTTTGGGCAGTCATTGATAGAAAATCTCATGTTACCTTAGTAGCTGTCTAGTATTGTATTATTTTTCTTAACTAAGGCTTAATACCTCGTCACCTATCGTGACAGTGGAACTCCTTAAAAATGAGCCTTTGGCAGCAGCTTGCTTGCTAAAATAGAATCCATTGAAACTGCAAGCCGCATAACAATAGCTCTACAAGAATATTATTTCTGTCTCTATAATGTATCCTCAAAATCATTAAAATGCAACTGACAATCCAAATAAAATACTGTCCCATTCAGAATTACAGAAATTGGATTGGTTATAAAACTATATATAAGGACGTTAGGTCTGGCAATGAAAG